CGTTTAAAAGCTAACCAATGAATTTCTAAGAGCCATCTTCCTATTTAGTTTCGTATAATGCTAAACAAATAATATGATATCGTCAAATTAGAAAAACATAAAATATATAGGTATAACAAAATAAATTTCTTTAGCACATTAGTCTTCCATTTTGGGTAAGCCATTTTTTTGTCGATTTCCATCTCGCGAACAGATTCGATGGATTTGGTGTATGTTTGTAATTAAGCACAATGCTCATATGTACTAAACGGTCAGGTTAGAGACTCCAGGATTGAAGTTTATATACACATTCCTGATTTTCAACTACTGGCTATAGTTATGAAAACCAGTCAGCAATACTAACTGCCACAAGGGCTTTGTTGACTCTTTGAACCGAATAACTGGATTGACTGCTGAAAGGAATGAGTGTATTTAGCGGCATGGCGCCTGGAATCCTGGATTCTTCAAACTGTAGACATGCTAACCATCAAAACACGATTGTCCTCAATGTCATACTTACACATTGAATTAAATAGTAAATATACATTTCCTTTTTACAGTGTCATTTTATTTCAACTGTTTACAGTGGTAGATTTTTTTTTACCTTTATTTTTTTACTAACAGTTCAATTAATCTATTTCTCCTTACGAGATTATAAGGGAAACAATCGAGTGATCACAGCAATGATAACTCATTTTCTTTTAGGCTTAACAATAAACAAATTAACAGTTGTTTCATATTTCCATGGAATTGCAAAATAAAGTATTTTTACACCCAAGAATTTCTTGGTTATTTAGAAGTATTTATCCACAAGAACGAAATTGATATTATAACTTAATAGATGTCAATATAATCTCATTCTTAAACGCAATTTTGTAGCATCTAAGTGACTGCAACGTTAAGTTTTAAGTTAATATAAACATTCTAATTATTCTTTCAATGGTGAAAGTTTACGGATTCAGATTAATAGTATTACCAACGTCTGTACTAGCAGATAAAATCATATTTGGCTTCAACAGACTTATTGTAAGTAATGTATTGATTTTATCGATCATTGTTTATCTTTATAACTGATAATAACGTTTGTATTTATGTTACAAAGGCACTAGTCTAGGGTTAAAACTGTTTTTTTGTTGTTGTTTTTTTTTGCAATTTCTAAAGATATTTTGGTTTAATGTTTCAATATTTCTCAACCCTTAAAAAGCGGAAATAAAATTTCACAGTAGTGTTTCGAGTTTTGAATTATACTTGGAACCTAAACATGTGGATTTTTCGGTTTGACTTGAACCAAGTTGACAATACTTGGTTGAAGACCAGTAAATTTGGGCACAAAATTCCAATACTTCGAGAAAAAATTATATTTCCCCCAATGACTAAAAATTCATCTTTGGTATCAAACCAGAATATTGCATTAAGTTTATTGTTTCGGAATAGCATTATTTATCATTTTGAAAAGTGAGAATTAAGAATATTACGTTAAATTAATATACATATCATAACACATACAATAATTAATACAATTAGTAAATCGTGTAAAACAACCCAAAAGACAAGTGCAAATATAGTACTTCAAAGGTTAAGATTTTATAGTTGTATGGTGTCTAGTGAAGAGAAGTTGTATAAAAGTATACCCATAACACTAGAAGCACGGGGCAGCTTAGGCCATAATGAACTGAATGTATTGCCACTTAGCACCGTATTTACTCAGTTTTCAACTTTTGTTTTACCCATCTGCGACCGCAATCTAGCAGGTAATATTTTTAGACATTATGATGAAACAATAACCAAAACTGAAGCGATAATCAAGAACAAACAACAAATGATAAATCGGAAAGAGAACTGGGGAGATATTATTAATAGTATAATAAGCAGTTACATATCTTTACATGGATAAATAATTAAAATTTATAAGTTTTTCATCTCTAATTAGTTTCGTTTATAATACACTAAGAACTTACCGCGAGATTATTTGAATATAAGAAAAGTGTCCCTCCCATATATCAGAATTTAGTCTTCCTAAAAATCTGAATTATGATTTTACCATTCACAGGACAGCATTAGTTACATGTAAGAACACGTTTTGGGTTATTTTATATAGAACATTTTAGCAGAAACAACTTATACAAGCTACTATAGATTGTATTGAAAGTCTACAAATATTGATACTCTGAGCACTCACCCCACTTTCAAAAATTTTAATTCGTCATCCCTGTTTATGCTCTTGTTAGCAGCAGAAGAACTTTATAACAAGTCTCCTTTAAAGATTTTAATTAGTCATCCCTGTTTATGCGCTTATTGACAAATTTCTCAGAAATCAACAAAAGATTTAATTTGAAACTAAGTTATAGAAAATTACACAGAAAACCTATTCGAAACTCAAAAACATGTTCAAATATGTTAATTGAACGTACATTTTCTTCAAAATATAAAAACTTAATGTATTTTGATTAGTATAAAACGACATAACACTCTAAAAATCGGCTTTTTAAAAAATCATTTTGATTCTAAAGCATTACATGAAAATTATGATTTAAATATTTTGCAATAGAAAAGTTTTTTTTTGTTAAATTTAAGAAATCGTACACAGAAATTAACATGCATCCATAGAGCTGCTTTTAGCAGGCCTTACACCCATACATATAATTTTTTCCCATATTTATTCTTTTCTCTTCATTTCCTGTTATATGCAGTGGATGAAAAGGTATCGTTTTTTTCCAAATGATATTCTGCTATTAGAACATGTCTAAATTCGATTAAAATATATAGAGTTGTGGTATTTCAGGCCCCAGTCTACTCTAAGGACTATCGAATACATATTGGAAAAGATGTTTATAAAACTTCCCTGTAAAGTACATTTTCAATATTTGCACCTTTATGGACATGAAATTTAATCGACCGAATGGCCAAACCCTGTATAGATCTACGTAGAGCTGTCCGTGAGAAAAATTGGGTAAGTGCAACCCCGACGGACAGATATTCAACTTGTATTATTGTAATATATAAGTCGGTGCTTAGAACTAACATTTATATTATTCTAAACTTGTTGAATTTAAGAGAAAGCTATCGGAGGTTGTATACACTTGCATATCCAAAAGATGTAAAAGGAATATGCTAGGTCAACTATGATGTTGATATCTGCTATAATATAGGAGCACACTCGTACGCTTCCAGAATTTAATTCCAGTATAGTTAGCGAAGCATTAAATGAGTGTGCATTTCCGATTGCGTAAAACCACATCAGCATTGTTAATTAAACTCAAGATGAGATACAACTAGGTATTACTGAAAGTCATTTAATTACCATTATCTGCAGGTATCTTTAAGTAAGTTCAGGTCATCATACCATGATCTTAAAAACTTCCAAATTCGTTCAGTGTTCGGTTACATATTTAAAACGATATCTTTACTTGACATGTACTGAATAATGATGCCTAATTATACATACAAACACGTACACTTCAACAGCATCGTTACAGTTTTATTCTGATTTTTTCTAGGTTTAGAAATTTTTTGTCTAAACCATTAAGTTTTAAAATATTGGAAAAATTGAATAACTTATTTTTTTCATATTTAGTGAAACATATCTTAGTATATCAGTAATACTAGAATATAAGTTTCAAATATCCATAAGGTTGGGTTTGAAGTTAAGTACAAAGTTACACAATGGGCTCTCTGTACTCTGCCACCACGGGTATCGAAACCTGGTTTTTAGCGTCGATATCCAGGTATATAAAGATATCTTGAGAAAACAGAAAAACAATTTATTCTGGAGATGACTATAGTTAATCTAAATGTGTGTATTTGTTCGTGAGTGTAAACTACAAAATTCTAAAAAAAATTATAGCGCTTAACTATATAAAGTAGTGTGGAGTTGAATGCGTTATACTTAAACAATTTTAGAGCGCCTCACCGCATCTTTACAGTCCTTGTCGCCACGTTCGGTCATAATCTGTCTAAAGATTGGGTATCTTGACAATAACCTTGCAGCACAATTTTCATTGCAAAAGGCTTCGTCCTAATCCTGTGATTTTGGGAGCACGCTCCTTCTCCCTGCAGCAGCTTTTCATAATCTATCTATTGAACAAGAGTAACTGCATTGAACTCTATAGGCACTGATATACTGACTTGACTGGTATATCTTCATATGGAATACCAGTTTTATTCTCCAGCTGCTTGAGGTAAGCGACTGATATGAAACTAACTGATATGCCGTTAGATCAGCTTGTGTACACATGACTTGTGTTGCTTTTCCAGACGCAAATCTATCTTAATTATGTTACATCCTATTTCCTGGGACACGTGGACGCCTTTATCATTGATCTTTGTGTTCGTCTATTCTCAACTGTTACATGACGCCGCACTTTACCCAACGCTGAGGTAAGACTTGTTGGAGGCCTCCTTTTGAAATTTCCATTGAGTCAGAATTAAGTATATGGGCTTACCTCGCTAAAATTCGGGGTTCGATTCCCCTCAGTGGATAGACTACAGGTAGCCAATTGTGTGGCTTTGTGGGGAAACAAGGAAACAATCTCTCCCTATGTAGTCCAGGTGCCCCAAATTGATCCATATTCATATGTTTTCAATACTCTTAAGTATATTGGACATCCCCGTCTTCGACATTCTATATCTCCAAACTGATCAAATCTTCATTGTCTGGGTGTATGAATAGTTTGAGTCGGAGAGGGCTGTTACATAACTTTCTAAAAAGCTTTGAGTTTTCTGTAGCATTACACTAGCTAAGTAACGTCAAGTCCCCCAATGTCAAAGTGGTAAGTATAAGGGCTTATAAATCCAAAATCCGTGTTTCGATATCTCTGGTGCGCACAGCACAGATAGCCCATTGTGTAGCTTTGGGCTTAGCTACAAACAAACGTAACGCCAAATAATGCCAAAATGTAGTTGTGATAAATATCGTTCCACCGTGACGTTAAATCGCCTGTGGTTGTCAAGTGATTTGCTGGTTTGCTCACTCAAAATCACTTTAATGTAACATACTCAGTCCTGTATATTTCAAGACTTACCGACAGATGAAGAACAACTGTTGAAGACCTATGTTATTTTCACCAGTTTTGAAAGCTAGAAAAGAAAATACAAGAAAGAGAACAGCTTTAGCAGAAACAGACATCCAGTGCAAACACAATATCAGATAAGAAACTTAACGCTTGTAAGTTGTTAAGTTAATGATTCATATTAATAGGTTTCCGACTTTATATGTTTAGACTTTAGAGAAATATAATGTGTAAAAATCTACTTGTTATTGTTAATTACGTATAGTAACGATATAATTTATTATGTAATGAAAGGCAGTGGAAAATATGATCTCAGTATGCATCTTTGTAACTAATAATTTCTTTTAGCACCTTGAGCATAAAATGCTTTCATTTAAGTTTTAAGCAGAAACAGGATAAAACAATAAACATTTAACAGATCATATCGTTAATTTTTTAGTCACAGTATTTAACAAACCTATATGTTGTATGAAACTTATTAATAATTTCGAAATTATTAATTTTGAATAATTCTTGTGGCAACCTACATTTATGATATTATTTTAGTAAAATAGAATTTACTCTGTGCATACACGTGAAAGCGGTGAGACAAGAAGCGAGAGCAGTTCTTGGCAGAATGCACGGAAATAGTCAATTTCATTTATGATACAAACCACTCCAATTTCTGACTGTAACTTATGAATCTAATTTTTAGATATAAAAAACATGCATTACACACAAAACCTCGCCCATTTTTTCAGGTACGCCCAATCCTATTAAATTTTAATGGGCGTGAGCTTGTGCTGATTCTTCTTTTTTTTGCGTATCACTTTGAATGTAATTCGAATTGCATAACAGAAGGTGCTCGTGACTTTCTGCCGTCATCAAAGGCCATTTCTGATTAATTTGACATAACTCTTACAGCGTACAGCACGACTTGGTTTTTCCATCCAGAGATTAGTTTGCGTGAAAAGGTGTGTTTAAACATTCATAATTTCTTGTCACGATTCCTTGTGCTTAAACTAAAGCAAAGTTAAAGTGCATTACTGCTCACTTATTTAGTTTGATATGTCTTTTGAAAACAGAGAATAATGAATCGTGTGCACGTAAAAGATACTATGTTTTCAGCGTAATAGTGCACAATTTAAATAAGTGGAAGTCTATAACAGAGAAAAAATTTTCAATTGTTCATAATTTTCGGATAGCTGAAAATTCATACAAGAAATAATTAGTCTATAGCCCCGCAGTGGCTTGGCGGTAATTCTGAAGGCTTATAATACTAAAAACAGGATTTCGATACCCGAAGTGGGCACAGCACAGATAGACCAGAGTGTTTGGTGTTAATATTACACTGTTTATCTTATTAAATGCACCCCTGCACAATTGTTAGTGAAAACGAAGTTGTATGTAAGAAGTCCAGAATATTTTCGTTACAAGTAGCAAAGTAATTTAGTAATTACGAAGTTTCACAGAAATATTTTAAAATAGAATTTTTGAGCACTGCTGAAGTTGTTTTCTGTAAGTATGGGAATGCCTTATTACTTCACTTTCGTCAGAGTAATTTAACTTGATCTAATTGTAATTTGTGTGATGTGTAATTGGGACACATATAAGAGTACGAAATAACGTACTACCTTCTTGTAATTCCATTTATTATAAAGTTTTGTCTTTTAATCGGTTGAGCAAACTCGTCTAATTCTGAATAAACAGAAAAAAAAAGAGCTCAATACTCCCATATTTTAAAACTCAGTTTCTTCTTTGAATTCAGTCATTTTAACAAGAACTTAAAACTCTTAGTGTTCGCTATTATTATTATTATTTATTAATTCATATTAATATGAATTGGGTAAGCAGTTGGATATGTTTGTAGTGAATATAGGTTAATTACGAACGAAACAACAAGGCTATGACGTGGCTTTAGAGGTAATGGTAATATATTCAAAAACATCTTAGGCGTGAAAAAAAGGTGCGTCGAAAAATTGATTTTGATTTCATGCCTTTAAGTCGCACACTCAATCATTTTTTCACCTTTTTTGAAGAGATATCATGACTTGTGCTAAAAATCAAAAGATAATTTAACTTTATATTGAAGACAAAATATACTATAGTTCGACTAACATTAACAGCCCCTAACAATAACACTCGAATATACAGATATTAATTTTTTGTCAATTCACACCAACAAACCACAGCAAGTAAGAAAGTAACACTCGATAGTAACCCACATTAGCTTTAGGATTATAACCCTATCATTCGGAAAAACCAAACAGATGCTTTAAAATATATAGTGGTAGTTTTTTCTCTAAAACAGTGTTAATAGCTTCTTTTATACTACGCTATGGAATTTAGATTAACAGTTTCCTGTCATCAACTCATGCAATCAGTACAGCCGTATCAGCCGTGACGCTAAACACTCTTTATTTAGGATTATTTCATAAAATTTTATAAATTTGTGCTGAATAGTTGGCAATGAATAATCAATAATAACCCGTCCACCCGTATGGTTTATTTGAATACTTGAGCTAGGGACTGCTAATTTAGTTTTCTTGGCCTAACCAGTATTAATGTATCTGCGCGTCCTTTCGCCTTATAGTTTTGCTGTTCTAAATCCGCCGTCTTTAGTCCGAATGACAAAAAACTGAAAACGGTCCACTTTTACTTTTAGGTGAAGCTGAAGTAAAAACGTTAGACCAATAGCTCACATGACGTTTCACGTAGGTGTGCGCAAAAATGTTTGTTAAATTTTGAGAGATTTTTGTTGAATAACTTTGGTCGCACGACACACTTCCGTGTGTCTTGATTTATATTCAGTTTCGTAAATGTTCTATAACTCTGAAGCATATAAGTTAAATTATAATGCAGCAATTCCTACCTTGAAAGGTCAAGGGTCGTTTGAAGATTAGGTTCGGCTTCTGGACAACCCAGAATAAACTGTGTGTTTATATTTGTAAACTTTTAGTTCTCCATTTTTTTATATAAGTCCTCCAGGGGGGATCAGCGGTAAACTAAGCAGAAGATAATATTTAAAGAAAAGTTACACAAGCTATTAATAATTCGCAGATAGCTATAGCTGCGATATCTTCATCTCCAAATTACAGTCGTTATAAATAGGCCAAGGCGCGAGAATCTGAAGTTAAGAGAGCTGGTTAATGTAAAACTAACACCGAAATGCATATAAAACGTACTAGAAATATTAAATGCTTCTTGGTTTAGTGTAAAATTAAAATATTGCTCATAGATCTAAGGATTAAACACATAGGCAATCTGCAATGTGATATTTATGGGATGAACAGAATTTTCTGGAATTTGGAATTAATATAAGAAAAGTAACAAATATCGGATACAGATATAATTAAAAATAGTACTGGTTTTATGAAATCCAGTGAATGATATTTTATGTTCAATTAATTTCACCTTAGTATTGTAGGCTGTGTTTTTAATATTTTAATTTAAATGTTTTATTTTGTAGAGGGAGTTTCTGTTTGAAATCTATAAGTTTCTTAAATGTCTAAGTTTGAAGTCACGTCTCGAAGTTTTGTGAGAGATGAAGAAACAAAGATTATGATATATAAAAACGAGAGAGAATTAATTTGCGAGTTAGTCAGCGATTCAGTCAGTAACTTGGTTGGTTTATTAGTGAATATATTAGTTAGACAGTTTGGGGCTGTTTAGTAGATATGAACGAGTGAAGGACTGATAAGTTTTATTTGAAAGTTAGGCCTATCAACGAACGTAGTCTGTTGAGTTTGGATGTCACAGTCGAAGAAATAAATTGTCTTCCTTATAGCTAAGTAGACTGGTACTTAAGTTATATTTATCGAATAATCAAAATGAACCCCCCACACGATACAATCCGTCACAATACTAGTGTTAGGAGTGAAATTATTTTAGTGAAGATAAAATATAATCTAGACTAGGTTTCAAGATGCAATGACCAAGCCAGCAATACTTCTTTCTGCGTCAGCTGTGCCAACTAAGGCTGCGCGACCTTCCTGGATAATTCCAATATTTCATTACCTAGTACAGTTCCGGAATTTAGTTAGTTAGCTAAACAACATCAACCAATTGAGAAACAAACAGATTATAACGAGAAAATACCATGGAAGATATATCAGGCTCAATTTCAGATAGCTATAAAAAGTGTAGTTAGAAAAGTGAACAGGTCATTCATCCTACTGCTGTTTAAAAGGATCAGCTTTAAAAACATTAACCAACCTTACAGCTAAGAACTGTAGCAACTATGAAGCTTTAGTGGCTGGCTTAGGAAACAGGTTTGGAGTTAGCAATGGAACTTTAATCCATCAAAGTCACAGATAAACAACAAGTTACGGGATCATCAGATCAATAAGTATCGAAACAACAACTCCCTGTGATGATAGTCTAAAATAATTGAAAATATTAACCAGACAGCTTACTTACACAAAAAGATAAGGTAAAGTATCCTTGAGGGACATATTATCAGGAATTACAAACAAAACTCTGTAGCAAATCAAACTGGTCTCAAAGGACGTCTAAACATTGAACTGTTATAAATGTAAAAAAAACATGGTCATTACAGCCAAGACTGTAAAGAATCAACAGATGATAATAAACCAAGAAAATAGTACCCTAAGTATGAGTCCTAAAGCACAACTAAAACAAGGGAAAAATAAAGAGTTAATCAAATGTTGGAAAACAGGAACTAGATTGAATTAAGTGGAAAAGTGCAACTGAGAATATTTCATCTACCCCAGGTGAGATAGCAAGCTCGTTATTTAAATTCCACAAGTTATGAATTCCTTAACATGTTGATTGACATTGTTTCTAAAGCTACAAGTGTTCGACACAATCTGGTAGTGAATGGTTAGAAATTGCTTTCAGAGATAAAGAAAGAAGATGGATTGATGCAAACAATTGCGCATAAAGTTACAGGAACAGAAAAGCTCAGTCACACTGATTGTGGGAAGCTTCTCTACACAACATGTTATGTATGTAACCGACATCAAGGAAAAATGCATATTGGAACAGACTTAATGCAGTGACATAGATTTGAGGCTAAATTAGCTTCAAACGATTTCACAGCCTATTATCAGGATATTTACATGCACT